GGGGGTAGAAGTCAGAATTGGCAAATAATGTGCCATATGATACTTTGGGCTTATGACTTTCTCATGTAAAATTGCTAATTACGTCCCCATGCCACTAAATATGGTATATGCATATCCCACGTTTAGTATAGTTACCACGAGGGTTATTCGCACCAGTTTGTTAAAAGGTAACAGAGTCACTATAATACTAAGATGTGATGCTAGTGGTGGATTCTTTTGCATCAACAACTGATGTTTTCTTATGGAAGTCGATTACACTGTGACCTTTTATACTTTCATTAGTTTTCATATAGAATAAACTTTGAGGACATAGTTTGCTATGTTAGGACTTTGGTTTTAAGGATGGCTACCATGTAGTGATTTAGATAATTGGAGTTTCCCAAGACTTTGTCTAAGTTTAATGTGATGCAGCATGGAGACCATAACTCTTGGGGATAAAAGGATAGGCATCAAAACAAGTGTCCTAGAGGAGAAGGCTACAGCTTGTAATATGCTATGCTGCTATGCCGATGAGCTAAAGGAAGGTTTCTACCCGTGGATTGACCAGGTTGGCATCATTAATTACTTACATGTTTTATATGGCATTGAGTGAAGTCTTTTATTGCATTTCGAGTTAAACAAGTATGCTAATTCTTGAAACAGGTCGCTCCTACATTAGTTCCGCTTCTGAAATTCTATTTCCATGAGGAAGTCAGGAAAGCTGCAGTTTCAGGTGGGATTCTGTTATATCTATTTTATTCTGCTCTAGTTTGGTTATCGGTAATTTTTCCAATTACTGAAATGATACTGTATATTGGTTATAGCTATGCCGGAGCTGTTACGGTCTGCTAAACTGGCTGTAGAGAAAGGGATTGCTCAGGGCCGAAATGAGTCCTACGTCAAGCAGTTATCCGACTACATAGTACCAGCTTTGGTGGAGGCTTTGCATAAGGTTGACTTGAACTTGTTAATTTTTTTTTTTTTGCTCTTGGAAATGATTATGGTACTTTGGGTTTGGATTGCTAGTCAGTAACAATTCTGCTGCTATCCATCACAGGAACCTGATACTGAAATATGTGCAAGTATGTTGGATGCATTGAATGAGTGCCTACAGGTTGGTTATTTTAAGATTGTTCTTTCTTTGATGCCAGTAACTGTAACTTCTATAGAATTATTGGTTTGCTTTCATTGAACTTTTTCTTTTTTCTTTAAATACTGAATATAGTAATATAATTAACCATTACAGCTGACGTTCTCGTCAGATCCATGCTTGATATAGCCTTTTTTTCCCGATTTCAGTGGCTTTACGAAAATCCCAAAAAATGGCGCTCACACAGTAAATTATATATTGATTATGTATCATTCTAACCTACTAGTACACCTTTTCCCGAGATTGAAATGAGACAGTTAGCAAGGTTAAACTGGGATGTTGTACTTCAAGCAAAAGAAAACCACTTCAACTCTTACAGAAGAGGGCTTCTCTTCCAGCAGAGCCTCCTTTTTGAGTAAATCTGGAGTTATCTAGCAGACTAGCACAACAGCTGTTGCACTTGAACACTATGTTAGTCTGGTCACAGCTAGAAGTTAGTGGTATTAGCAGAAGGCATGGTGGAGCAATGGTGATAGACTTCCACTGGTTTTTTCTGGATTATTTGGAATGAAAGAAATAGAAGGTTATCTGATCGATCTATCAACTATTAAAAGATATATCCATTCCAGTTATACTTTTGGTGTAAAGAAAGAAACACTTGTTAGTTGGGTTGATCGGATGAATGACTGGTTGAACCATCTCAGCAATTTGTACATAAATATTTTTGACACCATTTTGGCGCGTGATTGCTTGAAGATTCTGGTTTATCAAAAGAATGATGTAGACTTAACAAAATTCCTGTTTATTGATAGTCTACTTTGTATAAAGTGAGTTATAGTTTATATGAGTTGGTCATAAAACTTGAGAGAGCTATAAGACGTCTTGGGGAACAATTAATTACTAGAAACCTGGAAATGATTGTTGAACTTGCACTTCCAGGACCTAATTATGTCTTGCAACATATATGAATTTGCTCTTACTCCTTGGACGCTTTATATTTCAATCTTATTATGAATTTTTCTCTGGACTTCTTCAGATATCTGGACCACTCTTGGATGAAGGGCAGGTCCGAAGCATTGTGGATGAGATAAAGCAGGCCATCACGGCCAGTTCAAGTCGAAAGAGAGAACGGGCAGAGAGAGCAAAAGCTGAAGACTTTGATGCTGAGGAGAGTGAATTGCTCAGGGAGGAAAATGAGCAAGAAGAAGAAGTATTTGACCAAGTATGTTTGACATAAGATTGATGCTCAAGAATGAGTGGTTGATAAGTTTATCTCTATATATGTCTTTCACATTTATCAGGCTTATCTTATTGAAATCTGTATAGGTTGGTGAAATATTGGGTACACTGATCAAAACATTCAAGGCAGCTTTCTTGCCCTTCTTTGATGAGCTCTCATCATATCTAATGCCTATGTGGGTATGTATCCTGCATGGTTTCCAATGTAACACTTGCCAAGTAATTTCTTTTAATTTGGTTATATATCTCATTCGTATTAACTTCCCCACCTGCATCTATTAAGGGCAAGGATAAAACAGCTGAAGAACGGAGAATAGCAATTTGTATTTTTGATGATGTTGCAGAGCAGTGCCATGAAGCAGCTTTAAAGTAGGTCTATTTTATGCAGGTTGTCTTTAATTGGAGCTATTATGATGTGAATTTAAACACAACTGTTTCCTCCTTTGCAATCTAGGTATTATGATACATATCTTCCTTTCCTTTTGGAAGCATGCAATGATGAGAGCCCGGATGTCAGACAGGTTTGTATATGCTAAATGGTTGTGGCCTACTTTAGACAATTTTGACATGCTAATTCATTTATCTGAACCCCATTAATGTCATATCCAGGCTGCTGTATATGGACTTGGTGTATGTGCAGAATATGGTGGCTCTGTTTTCAAGTCTCTAGTAGGAGGTATTGTATGGTGTTGGAAACATTTCCTTTTTTTCCTGGAGCAGTAGGGAGGGCGGCATGTGTAATGTACTCTATTTTAACTTCATTGCATTACCTTAATTCAGAGGCTCTGTCAAGGCTCAATGTTGTTTTAAGGCATCCAAATGCTCTACATCCTGAGAATGTAATGGCATATGACAACGCTGTTTCAGCATTAGGGAAGATATGTAATTTTCATCGTGACAGCATTGACTCGGCCCAGGTATTTTTTCTGTAAATCCTTTATTTTGTCAATGTGCGTACAAATTCCACGATTTTAGCTAGGTTATGCTTGAGACAAATTGTGCTTGGATTGAATGGGTGAAGGGCGTTATTATTCCATTTTGCAATGTGTCAATGTTCAAGCGTTCGGAACACTTCTAATAACTATTTCAGTAAGAGTAGAGACTTTAAATCTAATGTAATTGGTGATTGGATGGCACATAACTTTTTTTATAAACAATTTATGTTGCGTTCTATTGAGAATGGAAAGCAATCAACTTCTATGTTCTATCAATCACATACTTGATAGTTTCTTGAGTCTTATTCGCTTAACTTTATACAAATGTCTTTGATTTTGCTATAACACTAGCCTTAGCTTGTTGTTGGAGAACCTTGTAATGTTATTGTGATTTCTTTGATTCTTACACCAGAGACTTTTTGGCAGGTCATTCCTGCTTGGTTGAATTCCCTGCCGATAAAAGGTGACCTGATCGAAGCCAAGGTTGTTCACGACCAACTTTGTTCAATGGTTGAAAGGTATTGGATCGGTTTGCTGTAGCTTGTATCCTGTTAATAGGTCATGGATCAAAGATGTCAGTCAATTTATTGGTGGTCTTAAGCTATAGTTGTCTTGGGTTCTGTGAACTGATAGGTTGTTCCACTTATTTTCAGCAATTGTTTAATTGCTCCACATATTATCATTAGTTCCATCTGATCCAAATGTGCATATATGCAAATGAATTGAATACAAAGTCATGGGGCATTTGGTCGGAAAATTGGTGTAACGTTTTTTGCATTTCTGTAGTTTGCTTTTCGGGCTTCAAAAAAAAATTCTAATTTGAAAAAACTGAAAGGCTACTTTCAACCAATTCTCCAACCAAATGCCAATAATCTAGTTTTAGCCAAACATAAGATTTGAGTAGAATTCTAATACCATAACTTGGTTAGGAGTTCAGCATTCTAGTGGAGCTGCAAAGACATTTTTAGTTTGTTTGTTACTTTGTTTAGGTCAGATGAAGCTTCTAAATACATTGAATAGCTACTCAATTTTATTTTCTTAGTTGCTGTGGATTCTATTCTAGATGCTACTCACATGTGATGTTTTATTTCACAAGGTAGCCCATCCATATAGCATAGTGGAAAGCGGACAAAAAGAGCTGTTCCCATAGCGGTAAATAGGTTTAGCTTAGCCCTTGCTAAGGATTCAATCCAGGGACGCTTGGGACCATCTCTGCTAATAAGGTTTAGTTTTGATGATAAAATATTTGTCAAAGAAAATATTCCCTCGAATAAAGTTGGAGTGTATTAACCCGTTCTTCATAACATTTGTTAAGTCTCTTTGAGCTATGGCTGTTTTATCGGTCAAGGTCATCTTGACCTGCTTTGACAGCAGTCAATCTACTGTTCCTCTCTGTTTCAGGTAGCTTGTCATCTGATTCTTTATGTTTTAATCATATTTTCCTGCTTGCAGGTCAGACAGAGAGCTTCTGGGTGCCAACAACGAGTACCTCCCAAAAATTGTTTCAGTTTTTGCTGAGGTTAGCTATTTACACTACCTGTTTAGGTTGATACTTGTCATCAGAAAATAGCATTCTTCAAACAATCCCAATTTTGAACCAGTAGTTGTTGGATCCAATTGTTCATTATCCTATTTTGTTTTGTTTTTCTCTTTTGGATTCTTGTTTTCGTTGTTTCGGTTGGTAGTGGAGCGATGGAAACATCTTTTTCAGAGTCTATTTTGATACTTCACCCGTTCACCGACAGTTGTTTTTGGTTCATGTTGCCTTTCACCCTCTCTATGCCCATTTTTTAGATAGATGATTGAAAATCAAGAATTTTGTTTTTATCGGTTTGCCATGTTGTAATGTGATTTTTTTTTTTCCTGTAGGTTCTATGTGCCGGTAAGGATCTGGCGACAGAGCAGACTGGTAGTAGGATGATTACTCTGTTGAGGCAGCTTCAGCAAACACTACCACCAGCCACCCTGGCTTCAATATGGTCATCCTTGCAGCCTCAACAGCAGGTAGCACTGCAATCAATGCTATCGTCATAATGCTGTGGAAGCTAACAAGCTTTTCTCCAATACGATGAAGCTGCCGGACCTGTAGCTACGTGTGAATCAAATATTTGATACTCCATTCTTTCTCATTAATGTCATTCATTTGGGCTTGAGTCTGTGCCGACTTGCTGTTGGTTTGGCAAAGTATGCGAGCAAAGGTGGAAACCTTTTTGTTTTGTCTGTAGAATGTGTATATTAAAAATTTTGCGGTTGAGTCTTGCTTCAGTAAGGAAAGGAGCATTAATGGACATGGTTTGCGAGAGGTTTTATTGGTCAAGTGTGTAAGGTTCAAGGGCTGTCAGGGAGACTGTTCTTGTCACAGTTTTGGTCCTGTCATCTTCTTGTTTTCATTATACATTTTGATATTTATGAAAGAGTACATTATAAATGGTGATTCATTTGTTGCTTTGGTTGTGATTATTTCATGCCTTTATCAATCTGTTTATTCTTCCTAAAATTATATGGGAATACCACTTCATCTGTACTCCTGTTACAGTGCCTTGCATTGCTGTTGTAATACATGTCAGACAATTGGATCATTTGCTGCCTGCCTACGTGTGAGAAATTGAAGGCAGTGATTGGATTTGCAGAGGTGGTTACTTGCCATAAACCCCCTATCAACTACCGTCTTGACTCTTGAGTTTTAAATCTTTTACACGGTGCATTGTTGTGTAAAAAATGTCAAAGTTGGCTATTTGGCTTGTAATAGGCAGTAGGTTGTGTGAGGGCAATGTTGAGGGGACTGGGAAGGACTATGCACCATTTTGGTGGAGTCGAAGGCTGCTTTATTTTGCATAAATATCTGTCGCTCTATTCTAATTGACTTTATAGGCTTCACCTGCTATTATTTTAGGTATCTACTATTAAATTCTTTCGTTTGTCATATGAAGGATATTAGAAGGGTTAAGACATGGATGCTTCTTTAAGTACCATAGAACCTTGAGTATCCTATGGTTAAAGGCTAACCCTTCAAAATTTCTAGTAGTAATAGTTATTGGTATGTTGGAAATTACACTCGTTTCATCCTTGTATAATATACCAACTTTTCTTGAAACATGAATAGTAGAAATAGACTAATACTCACTGTATCTGTTGAGAGCTACCGGTTCACAATAAATGACCATTTTACCTTTTATATTGGTCCAAAATGTGTCCATTTATATAATCAAGAAGGAATAAGGTTAATTTAGTGAATACATCTTTTTTCTCTAGAAATTCGTATTTGCTTAATGGGTGTGCCAAACGTAAAATGATCACTTATTGTGGATCGGAGGAAGTACCTTAGAAGCCAATTAAATTTGGGACAACATGTGCTCTAAATTTCAGTAGAAATGGCATAGCCACTTTTTAACATGATATTTAGTTATCCAGTATTTTTAATGCTGAGCAAAAATAGTCACTACTCTATTAAAATTAATACGAAAAG